ATAATTTAATTATAAACCACAAACTTCGCTAATAAATATTTGTTGATATTTATTTTCTAAAACGAATTAGTAGATTCATTACAGTTGCTCTATATTTATAATTCTATCAGGACACAGGTAAGATTACCTATTATTCAAAAGTTACTAGTTGATTTAGTAGGATGGAGGTGAAACAAACACATTAGTGAAGAATGCTATTAACTAATTAAATTTTATTTTCTTAGAGCAGTTGACAAGATTACTATCTAGTAAAGGTGTAAGATATGAGGTGATCTAATAAAAAGTTTTATTTGCATCAACCAACATTTCTAGATAGTGAAATTATAAATGGAAACGTAATTGAATAAATTGTGAAAATTTAATTGTTGAATCAAATAAGAGAGAAGTTTCTAATAGCCAGGTGTATTTTTTTTAATCAATATTATTATTTTGTGATTTTTATTTTTAATGAACTATAATTTTTAATCCTTAGGATAGTAATAAAGTCAAATAACGTCAAACTGAAAATGGAAGTAATTTATCTGAAAGAGAGAATAACATAAGTTCACGTTACTTCTGATATTATTTTTTATTGACTATCTCGTTTTTCTAAAGATATTAATTGATCTTGTACTTTTATAAAATTTGAATAATAAAATCAATAATATTTCAAACCAGAATAATACTTTGATATTAAGATCTACTAGTTCTAAAATAAATCAAATGTATTCATCTATTTTGTTTAATCATGAAGAAGGTAATAAATTTTGAAACATTTTCAAGGATCTAATAGATCTAATTCATCTACATATATTTGTAGATATCAAATCTGAATATTATGATTTTAGAAAATAAGCAAGGATTTTTTATTTGTAAAAGGATGTTATTAATAAGATTGATTTTAGAGATATTTATAAAAAGAATATGAATATGTAATGTGGTCAATGCTTCATTGCACTTAATGATATATTAACAATTATATCTTACGCATCTCCAGTGAATTCTTGAAGATTATAATCTTTTAGTAAGTTTCAGAGTTTTCAATGGTCAACAATTCAGCAGGTCAAAGACAAGTCATATTTATGTTATAAAAAGGATACTCAGAAAATTCTGTATGCATTATATTCATTTTGAATTACGGAATTTTTTGATTATCATTATATTCATTATTTTTTTTTGTGATAAAATAGATGCTTCTCAAATATAATATTGATTAAATCAACAAAACCAATATATCTTACTTGTAATCATGAGATTTGAAATAAAGTTTGTTAAAGACCAATATCTCCATACTTATCATCTGTAGTAAATAGTTTAATTCAAGAATATTCTTTAATAAGATTTAATTTTATTTATAGATTTGATATTTATTACAACACTACTGCAGAAGTTGACACTTAGTATTCTCTTCTATTTTAGTTGTTAAATTCTTTCACTTTACAAAATGAAATCTAAGATAAATGGTCTGAGAATTTCTTTAGAATTACAAAGTTGAACAATGAAGAAGACAAAAATGATTTTTGCAAATGTCAAAAACTCATATATTTTCATCTTAATATTGTCTTAAGAAGATTAATGTACTTTCATTTGCAAAGACATCCATAGCTACAACATGAACTGTTGACTTTAACAAATCTCGCATGGCATTTTCAAATTCTCGAACATGAATTTCACTATTCATTTGATGCATAATAGCATTTACTTCATCCAAGATAACTATGTAAGAATGACTTCCAAAAAGAGAAAAGTGATGTATACTTTCAACTTGAACATTAATAACATCTCAGTTACATATAACTAAATCTCCTTCAACTTCTTGATAATTGTATATATGTAATTTTATATTTTGTAATATATCAATTTTGGCTTTAGTCTCATTACTAAGTATCTTGTGATATGAATTTTAAATAAAACATGGTAAATTAACTTCCTCTTTAGCTAAAAAATTGAGAATATTTCTTAGGCCTTTTGTTTTTCCTGTCATTATAGATGAGCGAATTAAAAGTTGTAGTGAGTTTCTCACTTAAGAAATCTGAATAAGCTTCTGAGGCATCTTCTATTTTACTGATATTGATATTTTTTTCAGATAATTCTGTGAGTGGGTGTGAATATTTTATAGCATTGAATAATCTTTCAATCAATCTTCACTTCTTGAATTTTTCTTTTGACTCGACTTTGTCTTATACCTTATTGGAACTAAGGCCTTTGTGATCTGGTTTATATTTTTTTTTTCAATAATACTTGAGTATAAAATGTTTATTTTGTTGAATAAATTTATAAAATTAATCTTTTTTATGTTTAACCTCACATATAGGATATTCTTTAACCAATTGTACCTTAAAGTTAATGAACCCTTTCTCAGTTCTTTCAATTTGAAGTCATCTATATTTTGCAATAACTAAATTGGCTCCTTTAACCAAGATATTTTTATTATTGATAGGTTGGGATTCTTGTTTTACTGGTTCCTCTGAAGAAAAAGTTCATGACCAGATTTCAGAATAATTCTTTTTAGACTGAATCAAATAATCATCTAACTTTTGAAATCCATTTTTTATAGAAAAAATAACAAGTTTTTTATATGTCCTTCTTTTGCTAATTCAAGAAACCAAAGATTAAAACTAATTTGAAAAGGTCAATATCAATGAATTTGAAATAAGGTTCCTCAACTAATTCCATAACTTTTTCTGTAAAACCCTTTAGTTCTCTATAATCTATGAATTGAATTTATAAAAATAATATGTCAATTATATTTCTTAATAGTTGATGAGCTCGCTAAGGCAAAAGAATTTAATAAAGGTATACAATCTAGTATTAGGCTTTGAGACATCAATTTTCTACAAGTAATTTTTTTACTATCTATAAAAGGAAGTTTAGGATTAGATGAATTAGGCTTCTGCCTTACATTAATATCAATTATTAAATGAAGAAGCTAATTTTCATCAATACATTCATGAGTGTTAGGTATTCCATAAACTTTGATAAGGTAATCAATTATTGTAAAACCTTTTTCTAAAATCCTAATTATATATTGAGAATAGATCTTTCAAGTTGGTATGTCTCTAAAAGTACTGTTTTATTTCTATCAATGGAGTTGATATGGCCATTAGATTTAAGCCAGTATTTATAATATGTACATCCCCATGATTAGATTTATAATCAAGATTCATTAAACCTTTGAGAATTATTTTAGCCTCATTATATTTAGCCAATTTTTGATTTAGATACTGTTATTATAATGATTCATGTAGATGTTTTTTTGCCTCACTAAACAGACTCATTTTATTAGTAAAGCTGTATATTTTATATATTGATTTGTATATGTAGTATATAGTTATAAACTAAAAGTATTATACTTAACCTAGAAATAAAAGTGTTATATTTAACCTGAAAAACTTTAAATAAAATTAATTATTCTATACAATTATTATTACAATAAATATAGAACTTTATCATTGTTCTTATATTTTTAAAACTGACAAAGTCTGTGATCAAGTTGTAAAGGATGTAAACTTCATTGAAATTCTTTAACATGGATTCCTTATAAAGAATATAACTGTTATAAGCTAACATATTCTATATATGGTATATGTCAGAATTATACAAGTAAGTATTGAAAAAGAGAATATTATCAACAAAAAAAGCAAGATGAATTGCATGCAAAAATTATTATGCTTGAGAATCAAATATACTTATCTGATTCTAGACATAAAGTATAAACATGTAACATATATAAATAATTTTTTCCAGAATCTTTTTAAGTAATGATATATTCCCTTTAATCCCTTTTATATTTTTGATTATTTTATTATGTCATCAGGAAATTTTTCGGGCGTAAATTTCCGTAATAAAAACGGGACCCACGGAAATTTATGCTCAAAAATTCAATTT